AGGGTATTCAAGCACCACTCCTAGGGTGGTGGATGGCCCCAAGCCTGTCAGTGTTTACAAGGCATTTGGACAGTGTCCTTTCTACCATGCTTTAACTTGGTCAACACTGAATTGTCAGGCAGTTGGGATAGATGATTGTTGTAGTTCCCTTCCAACTGAAATTGTCTGTTCCGTCCCATTCTAAAAAATGCTAACCAGGATAGCTCCAAGAGGGAAATGTGCCTGAGAACTGGAGGATAGCTCCAGTCTTCAAGATGGGCAAGAAACAGGACCTGGGTAACTAGTCAGTCTCACCTCGATCTTTGGAAAGATGATGGAGCAGCTCATTCTGGGGGTCACCTCTAAGCACATGGAAGAAAATAAGGTTTTCAGAAGTAGCCAGCGTGGATTCACCAAGGGGAAGTCATGTCTGACTAGTCTGATAGACTTCTATGATGATGGGACAGAATAGATAGGTGAAGGGAGAACAGTGGATGTTGTCTTCCTTGACTTCAGTAAGGCTTTTGGCACTGTGCCCCATAATATCCTTGTGGATAAGCTCAGGAAGTGTGAGTTAGAAGAGCGGACAGTGAGATGGATCGAGGACTGGCTAAACAACAGAGCCCAGAGGGTTGTGATCAACGGTGCCGAGTCCAGTTGGAGACCTGTGACTAGTGGTGTTCCCCAGGGGTCAGTACTGGGCCCAGTCTTATTCAACATCTTCATCAATGACCTGCGTGAGGGGATGGAGTGCATCCTCAGCAAGTTTGCTGATGCCACAAAGCTGGGAAGATTGGCTGATACACCTGAAGGCTGTGCAGCCATTCAGCGAGATCTAGACAGGCTGGAGAGCTGGGCAAAGAGGAACCTAATGAGGTTCAACAAGAATAAGCGTAGAGTCCTGCATCTGGGGAGAAAAAGCACCATGCACCAATATAGATTAGGGGTTGACCTGCTAGAAAGCAGCCCCATGGAGAAGGACCTTGGGGTCCTGGTGGACAACAAGTTATCCATGGGACAGCAATGTTTTTCTGCCCTCTGCACATCTGGAGTATTGTGTCCAGTTCTGGGCTTCCCAGTTTAAAAGGAACAGGGATATGCTGGAAAGAGTCCAACAGAGGGCTACAAGGATGATTAAGGGACCAGAAGATCTATCATATGAGGAGAGGCTAAGAGACCTGGGGCTGTTTAGTCTGGAGAAGACAGAGAGGGACCTTATTAATGTCTCCAAATATCTGAAGGGTGGATGTCAAGAATGAGCCAGTCTCTTTTCATTGGTGCCCTGTGATAAGATGAGGGGAAATGGTAGCAAGTTACAGCACAGGAAGCTCTACCTCAACATGAGGGGAAACTTCTTTACTGTGAGGGTGATGGAGCCCTGGAACAGGCTGCCCAGAGAGGTTATGGAGTCTCCTTCTCTGGAGACTTTCAGACCTGTCTGTATGTGTCCTGTGTGATCTGTCCTAGGTGTTCCTGGTGCAGCAGGGGGGTTTGGACTTGATGTTCTTCAGAGGTCCCTTCCAACCCCTATGATTCTATGATTCTGTGTAGGTTACTCTGTACTCTGCACAGGGCTGCTATTGCTGGGAGACAAATGGAGCAGGGATAGGTAATGCACATCTTTGCTGGAGATAACTTGGATAATGGTGTCAGAGTTTTCTTTGGGATTAATACATAGAACATTGACATAAATACAGGTATTTCAGTCTACTTTAAGAAGCTTGGTATCTGGTCCCCCTTTTTCAGTTACAAATTCAGAAATCCACCCTTTTTAAAGCATACTAAACCCAAAAGATATTAAGATTTATGTAATTGAATTGGTGCTTTGTTGATCATTCCTGACAAACTCCATAGATTCTGTCTCCAATGATGATGACTTGTGCAGACCTATAGGTGAAACTGTTCATCACTGTCATGAAGGATCATTTTCTGTAGTGGTTTCCCTTCCTGGAAATCAAGCCATTGAGGCTTTGGAGATAAGAAGGGAAGTAATACATTCAAATATTCCTCTTGCTATTTTTTTGCTAATGGGAACAGTTCCAGGAAAAATGTTGTGTGTTACAGAGGTGCTTGTGAAGACTTTAAGATTTGCTAACTGGGCTGATGTGTATGTTCAAAACCAGACTGTATTGTCTGTCGGTGCTTAGAATTGTTTTGTGTATGTCACTCTGATACTCATTCTGAGGAAGACAGCAACTACTACAGTGTTGATACAGTTCAGGAAAAAAGCACACTGTGCTGGTTTGGTGGGTTTTTGGTAGTTGGGGAAGGGCTCCAGGGGTGGCTCCAGTAGGAAGCTTCTCCAAAGCCAGCTGAGGAGCATTAGAAGGACAATTGATGCACCTCTGCGACTAACATACGAAAGAACTGAGATAAGACCTGAGCAGAGCAGTTAAAAAGGAAGAGCTGTGCTGGTGAGACAGAGCTGTGCCCATAGTTGGTGAGGAAGAAGGGGAAGAAGGTGCCCAAGGAGAAGTTTCTCTGCAACCCATGGTGAGATGGCAGGTTGTTCCCCTGCATTCATGGAGGAACGTGGTGGAACATTCCCTGAAGGTGCCAGGAGGTGTGAACTTGTCCAGTGAACTTGGCCTTGCTGCCAGTGGACTCTGATGATGCAGCCATGGAAGACCCCGGCGCCAGGAGAGTTTGTTCCTGAAGCAGCCCCTGACTCTGTGGGAAGCCCAGGCTGGAGCAGCTCCGGACCTCGTGGGAAGGACTCAGGAAGGAGAGGTTCCTGGAGGACTCTCTGCCATGGGAGGGACCCTGTGGGGAAGCAGGGCAGGACTGTAAGGAATCCTTCTTCCTGAGGAGGAAGGAGCAGCAGGAACCACCAGCCTGTGAACTGACTCTAAACCCCATCCCCTGTCCCCCTGTGCCGCTGGGGGGAAGGAGGGAGAGAAACCGGGAACAAAGGGATTTAGGCCTGGGAAGAAGGGAGGGGTGGGGTAACATCTGCAAGCCCTGCTCTGTGTGTGTCTGTCCTCTGTGTGTGTGATTAGTCTGAAATTAAATTATTGTTTTTCCCCAAGTTGAGTCTGTTTTGCCTGTGACCTTAATTGGTGAAGAACCCTCCTTGTCCTTTGTCTCAACCCATGAGCTTCTAGTTGGGCTTTGTCCTCCCCATCCCAGTGTGTGTGTGTGTGTGTGTGGGAAGCTGAGTGAGCGGCCACGGGGCTGTTCTTTGTTGTCCTGTTAGGCCCCAACCATGACACACAGTCTGGGTCTTTGTTGTTTTTCTTAGCAGTATTTCTATGCATTTCCTAGTATGTCAGACAACGCATCCCTAACTATTGTTATAGTGCAAACCCTGTCACCAACAGCCAAAACGAAGCCCTAAAGCCCCACAACCGAAGCAGTGGTTATGCACAGCTATTTTAGGACCTGTGTCGATAGGCCAGCTGTGTGGGTGACCAGACTAATTACTGGGCAGCTGCTGGTAGCCCTGAAGCTGCGGAGCAGGTTCCCCAGGCCACCCGTGGCTGCCTGCAGCTGCGTGGGTAGGGGTAGGGCTCTTCCTTCCTGGTACCCTCTGAGCTGGCCTTGCTGTCGTTTTTTTATCAGACTTTCGAGTGCGGATTTTTTTCTGTCGCATTCCAACACCTGGTGCCCTCTGGAAGTTGTCTTTTGAAATAGCATGTATTTGTTTTTTTTGTTTGTTTTAATTGCTGTTATTTCTGCGCCCTTATCGTGTGGCTTCCATATGCCGACTTGGCGCTCTAGAAAACCGAAAAGCCCGCACGATTTGAAGCCCTGTGCCAAAAAAAAAACCCCGCAGCATCCCGCCTAAGGACGCCCCGGAGACTTGGCGCGATGAGAGCCGGGCCGGGGGGGGCGGCAGGGGAGGCCGCGCTGGGCCGGGAGGCCGCGCTGGGCC